AAGTATTCATAGGGAAATACACCTTTCTGTCTTACAAGATCGAAGTCCTCTCCTTGCCACCGCTGACTGACTATCTTGAAGTCTTCAGCTGAAAGGTTATTCACAAGTGCCTCTAGAGAAGAAGCCATGAATTGAATTGAATCGATAAACACAAGACTTTTTCCTAACGAGAAGGAAATGTACTTTTCCATGTTATTTGGAACAACATTAATATTCATCTTGAACTTCCCAATCTCCTGCATTATTAGATGGCTATCGTAACCTCTTAGATTATGGAAGACCACAGGAAGTTTCCATGTAATTCTATATTTCAAATTACACATATTATGAGCAGCTCCACGGTAAAGTCCAGTTACGTGATCATGGTCCCTGACTCTATCATCACCTAAGTCACAGCCGCAGATGGAGCAGTTTCTTGTCATCCAGAACTCAGTTTCTTGTTCTGGTGTAATTACCATTTTCTTCTTGAAGATCTTGTTCACCATTTCTCGGCACCTGATAGACTCCTTCAGAACTGTCTTCAGAAAGACCTCTGTAGCATCTTCACCAACGTAACTCGTATATTCACCTGAGTACTGATCATCATAGTGACACACTGTCTTCAACCCAAAACTGCAAGCTTTATGTGTCTGGTAAAGCTCAGTTGAACTCTTCTCCTCAGGGTCTTCAGATTCCACTTTCCTTTCCTCAGGAACAAGCATAGATTCAAAGTCAGCATAGATTACAAATGGAGCAGGCATTGAATTTCTATAATGACCGAACTTTATTTTTGAACCAGCATTGGGAAGCTTAGTGGCCTGAGTTCCATTTACACTAACACATGTCTCACTATGTTTCTTTAATGTTTCCTCACTAGTGCAACTATGAAGACAATACAAGCAGAAGTGCTTTTTGTTCGAGTTACCGCTAACACTGAAGAGCATTCTATTTACATCCTTTATTAGGACATAATGATTACCACCGTTGTTGTCACCTAACAGCAGCAACTCCATATGCTCATCATATTTTGTCTTAGAGTTCCTGATTGGGTAGAACTGCTTTTTTCCCTTATAACCGAATACTGAGATGCTTATTGAATTTCTTCTTTCAATTTTGTCGATATCGCTTATCTTGACAGGAAAGTCAATACCTTCATAATCCAGGTTCTCCGCGAACTCCCTATCTTGCTTTGTTATGGCAGTTGCCCTCCTAGCCTTTGGTCTCAAATGTCTCACATGACACCACATAAAGCATTTTTCGTCCTTGTTTTGCATATTAATTAAGCCGCATTTTGGATTACTAATGTCTGCGGGTAATTTCATATATGAACTACCCTTGAGAGGTTTGTACATTGCAATATTAACATAATGACTTTCAATGTTCAGAATAATCCAATTTGAACCTAAGTTTTGGAAAGTTTCAATTCTGGACAATACGGTCAGTTGATTTTGGGCTGCAGTGCTTTCGATATCCTCAAAGTTTGTTGCAGTTCCAGTTTTTGACTTAAAGTACACTGAATCCTTCTTTGTTTTATCATTTCCGATTTCCTTAGACATTCTCACCTTAATTGTCTCCGTATATTTTAGACCTCCCATTCTCTTCAACTCGTTCACTAGAATTCCCCTCACAACCTGCCTACTCGCTGTCATCTGGTCCAAGGGATCCATAAAGTTTGGAGTTATTGAGTACGTCACCGCTGCACCATTTGCGGCAGTTTCTATCTTTCTGTAAGAAGGCTTCTCAAGATATGTTCCGAATGGATCAATCTCATGTTCCTTTGGTGTGATCACTACAGGCTGTTCCGTAACTTCCCTCATTACCTTCACAGGCTTCCTTAACTTTGGAGGAGGCACTGGCTTTTTGGTTCTAGGCTTAGGAATAGGTCTTTCTTTAGGGAACACTGTCCTTGGCTTAGGAACAGGTCTTTCTTTAGGGAACACTGTCCTTGGCTTAGGAACAGGCCTCCATGGAGCTACACCTTTTGGCACCTCAGGAGCTTTCCTTGTTGGTCTTTTGTTTAGATCCACCGTCACCGTGAACTTATTAGGTCCCACCTGGGTTATCACACTATCCGCAGGAATCGAGAGTTTTATTTTCTTTTGAGCCATAAACCTCTCCGCGACACTTTGCTTCTTAACCTTTGGTGGTCTTCCACGTTTCTTTGGAATCACAACCTCAGCCTCAGACTTAACCTTTGCTGGTCTTCCACGTTTCTTTGGAATAACAACCTCAGTGTCAACCTTAGCCTTTGGTGGTCTTCCACGTTTCTTTGGAATTGCAACCTTGGCATCAGATTTAGCCTTTGGCGGCCTTCCTCTGGGACGTTTAGGATTCCTAATATTCTCTAGCCTCTTCATCTCCGCATTAACTTGAGGATCATCAGTTCTCCATCTACCTCCCATTGTTGGTGGTAAACCCTCAACTCCCTGACTGAGTAGACTTTGATATGCCTCCTCAACCAGCAAAGCCTTTGCCTTCTGTCTCTCGGAATATTTCCACGTCGGCATAATTCCCCTCTCACCCTTCTCATTCAATGGTCGTCTTCGTGCTCTTCTTGGGTCAGTAGAACGATCTCCTTCATCTATGAACTGTCTTTCTCCTTCAAAGAGATCTTTACCCTTATCCTTAGGTGCAACTCGATAGAATTTGTCCTCAGATATTCTCTCAACTTCATCCTCGAAATCACTTATATCGCTATCATCAACTATCTCACTAAGTGCCATAAGTTGTTCCACGGTCATGTTGTTCATGTCAAAGTTTGTCGCCATTTTTCACTCTTTCTCTATATACTATAGGTAAAAAAAAATAGGCCTATTTAAAGGCCTATTTAATTTTGTATTTAATTTAATATTTTTATTTAATTATTTATTTTTATTTAATTATTTATTTTTATTTAATTATTTATTTTTATTTAATATTTTATTTAATTTTATAATTAATATTTTATTTAATCCAATAATTAATATTTTATTTATGTCTAAATTTCCAGTTATTATAATATTTACAATTTATGGGTTCCCACCCCAACTAGGGAAAAACCTTTCCATATAGTCTGTCCTCAAGGATGTTCACAATTCTTTGAGTCTTGATGTCCTCAGGTGGGTTTCTCAACATGATGTTGTTCATGCTGGCTAACCTTAATAGGTAAAACTTATATCTAACTATGTTGCGCCCCCGTTGCAGTCTAAGTCTTTGTATACATCTTACGATGCTTCTAAACTGCTCCCGTATGGTATCCCTATCCCCAGAAGCAACATGCTCGAATAAGTGTCTCTCAAACCAACGGACTCTATTATGGGACGATTTCTTTTTCAAGTAGTCATCCTTGTTGTGATTGTAACTAACGTAGTATGTGAAGTTGTTCATAGCACTAGTTCCGCAACGTGTGCATGTATCTGCTCCATCTATTACCACAATTGACTTACTACCACATTCACTGCATACTGGCTCGTATGTGTGTTTGACCTTCATTTTATTTTTCACGTATTTCATTACTGCAGCCTCTAACTCCTCAATAGTGTTTGCGTTCTTACCGACTCGTTCCATTTCATCAGGTGTTACCAGTGTCAGCCAGTCCATCCCCTATACTATATGTGTTAAAATTTTCTGCTTGTTTTTGTGGTTTATTTTTACGCCTCCTTATTATTCGCCATTCCACATATTTTTTAACTGCAGCCTCCAGTTCTTATATAGTGTCCACCCTTTTTCCTAAGGCTACCACTTCATCAACGTCTACCATTGCAAGCCAATCCATTTCTCTATACCAACTATGTTAGTAGGCGCTACGCTATATTATATATGTAAAAGAAAATTACCGTATTTTTATAGAATTAAATAAGCTGCCCCTCCAACCACCCCACCTGTAATTAAACCGAAGATTGCCATATACTCTTCCATCTCAGAGCTAGGTTTATAGTGATTGCTTAACTGCGGCCTCCTCGGCACAGCCTTACGTGTTAACTCATTGATTCTTCTAACGAGTTCCAGTGATTTATTTGTTGAATTAATATCCTTATTTGCCTCAATCAATTCTGACCTTAATTGGGCAATTCTGTTTCTTCTATCAGTGACTTCTTCAAGGTACTTCTCTCTTTCAGCTGTTAGGTTCTCCATCGCTATGTTATGTCTATGGGCTTCCCTAGCATATCCATTCTTATCAAACATTTTAAATAGGTATCCTGCTCCAGCAAATGCAAATGCGTTAAAGAGTCCTCCTGCTACTGCTGACGCCATTGTATAGTCTTACCTAGGTTTTGAATGGATCATCTGGTAGATACTTCTTATCTTTCAGGTAAGATACTAGTAGGGATGAAAGACTAACTGAGACAGCTAGCTTTGCCATTCCTTTTACATTCTCTGGGGTGCCTAATGGTTCTTTTAATAGTTTCTTCGATGCCATTGAAATACCGACTGCTCCTGCTGTTAGTAACACTGCGTTGTACACGTCCATCGTCATCTTTGATTCTTTACTCATCTTGTTATAATATATATTATGTTTAATGTATCATTCAAGTGAATCTAACCTAGACTCGTCAGCTTTCCTAGGTATCTCAACAGTCTCAGTTGCGTGCTTGGGTTCCGGTTCCCTGGTTTCCCTCTGATGCGACTTGTATGCTAACACTAGAGATACCAGTGCAATGGCCACTCCTATGTAGGTAATCAAACCGTCATTACTTGAAGGCACCTTAGGTTCCGCAAGTTTCTTTTTCCTCTCCTTTGCTATTTTGCTGATTGCAGCTAATCGTTTTCCTGCCGCTACTCTCTTCGGGTCCTTCTTCTTCTCACTTGTTACTTGTGCTTGGATTTGCTCAGGTTTATCTTCCATTTTACTTGTAAGATACCTTAGGTTTAACTGGGTTTAGTCTTATGAAACATCTCAAATTCTACTTGTGAGATAACTTGAATCTGTTTGTGAGATGTCTCAAATTTGCTTGTAAGATAACTTAAATCTACTGGTGAGATAACTGGTGAGATATCTTGAATCTACTGGTGAGATAACTCAGATTTGCTTGTGAGATGTCTCAAAACTTACCTGAATTGAACCTTGGTCTGTACGTCTTCACGTCACAAACTACTTTTTTCACTGCAACTTTCCTTATGGTTTTCCTAAGTGAGGAAGTACCGACTACGTCAGTATCGGCTATGCCAAAATACTCGTTGATTCTAATGCAAGTCTTTACCAGATCATCTGATACCATTGTCATGTACCCTATTCCCCTCAATTTCCTAAACCATATATCCTGATTCTCACTTATAACTCCGGTGCCCTTAGGAGACTTAAATTCAATAGCAAATCCTTTGTACTTCCCCATAGGATTCTCTATGATAAGATCTGGTTGACCACCTTTGTATCCCTTCTTCCAGGCATCACATCTCTTTGACATAGTGTCCTGATACTCACCTAGACCAGGTAATATTATGGCCTCTGGGTAGTTATCTCTAATGTAACTCACAACTATGTGATGAAGGTCCGTTTCGTTTATAAGGATTATTTGGTTATATCTAAGTGACCTTCTATCTGGTAAGTTATAAGATCCTGTTTTACGGATAGATGGGAGAACCTCACTAAGCACCCAGTCCTGAAAGGCCTCTGCTGTTGGAAGTCTTGAATTAAATAGTAGCTGGTACAATCCTGGTTCATATAGTAGTATTGTCTGCGGGTGGTACTTTTCCAAGGGGAACTGGCTGGGTACCCTTTGAATTTCTCTCACCATTGTCTTGTTCATATTCCACACATTATCTCTAATAGCTTTTTTCGTGTTCGTGTACCCCAGAGACTCTGCCACATCTTTTGCGTGAAATAGTATCTCATCACCTTTTCTGATAGTTCTTATGCTAACGTTCAACTCCTGATTTCTGAATAGTTTTTCCATCTTTCCCTATACTATATATGTAAAAATTTTTGGGCTTATTTTATTTTGATTTATTAGTACTAATTATAATAAACTATAAGACCGGCCCTTCAGGGTGGTACCCTCGAGGGCACCCCTTTTGAATTAACAAGAGTGGTTGTATTATAACCTTTCTCAAAGAGGGGCGATTCACCCCTCTTTCCTTATCCTAGTATCAGCATTCCCTCTACCCACCCAGCTGCTTACTACGTACTTCCTACAACAAATAAAATACTACATTTCATTTAGTTTCCTATATATCTTTACAACTGTTTTCACCATATCATCTTTGAATGCCTGGTATTCATACTGGAGTGGTCCTATGATCTTATTCTTAAGGTTGTACAGATCCTTCTCCACAGAGGTCAGTGTTGCTGAGTTCTTCTTAAGTAAGCTTTCTGTTGAATCAAGTGCTGCCTGAATTTCATCTAACTGCTTCTTATTCGCGTCGGTCTTCTCAATCAGTTCATTAATTATGTCTTCAAATTCAGTTCCTTCCCAGGCGTTTCCCCAATCGTATGACTCTCCGAGGTGAGACATTCTTCTTCACTATGTAATAAGATTTGTTTTGCTTCCTCAGATATTTCCTCAGTCTTTCCCTTCTTATTCCACTTGTGAGCAACCACGTGCTTAGCTGTTGTGCATCCACCTGATATGAGACCAATGAATGGAATGTCTGGGGATATCATTCTAGTTAAATAACATACGTCATCCTTTAAAAGCTTATCACTAAGTAGTTCCTCTGACAGCTTCTCAGAAGATTCCACCGCATTAAAACTTCCTAGTATGGAAGCAAACTTTGAGATAATAAGTGTTGATAAGAAGTCACTTGCGCATGACATCCTCTGACTTTCATACTCACTGTAAAGTCTATCCACAACATCTTTGTTGGACTTTCTTATGAAACTTGCGGTCTTATCAATTACACCATCCTTAGATAGCTCGATAAGCTTATTCCTTTTGCTTTCAGTTTGCGACTTATCTGCGATGGGCTTAGTTTTTCTAGCTTTCTTTTGCGGTGTCTTTGCGGCCTCTTCTACTTCCCTCACAGCTGTAGATATTTCTTCATCAGATTCAGATCCCATCTTTTATATCCTACGCGATGTTTTGTTTGATAGTGTATGTGTAAGGGTGAATGAGGAGTATATCTAATGCGGTGAACTTTTCATCTTTTAGTATCTTCGTAATCTCTGTAATTGTCTCCTGAGGAACGCCACTTAGGTAATCATCTGTTATGACCTTCATATCTCTGCGACTAGGGTTGTAGAATGTAACTAACCTGGAAATGTTCTCCCTGAATGGTTTTGCTACTGATGACAGTTGTTGGGTAATTACAATGACAGATATATTGTAATGTCTTGCAGAGAATGCTAGGCGCACCAGTTCTGAGACTCTTTTCTTTACATCTTGACTTGCCGCACAATCGTCCACTATAATGAGAGTCTGAGTACCGCGGAATATGGTGGACACTGCCTTGAGAACTATATTGATCATTTCCTGGGAACATGGAATTTGTATGACTTCGTGGTCACTAATATGAGCCCAGTTAATGTAGGTCATATTCCATTCTATTGTTGGACATATAATAACAATATAATCGAAAACTTTATTGTACTCTGTTTCTAGCATGTTAAGTAAGAACTGAGTCTTACCACTTCCAGTCATTCCTACTATGAGCATATTGAATGGTGGCTCTAGATTCATCTCTATGCTTTACCGTTAGTACAAGCTACGCTAGTAGCGGCTACGCAGGCTACGCCTAGTATTGAATACTAGATAGATCTCTACTAGCAAAGTTAAGTAGAGCATCTGATACAACAAAAATGTTGCACTGAACGTCAGCTGTTGTGGCTTGCTTCTTGATTTCCATAAGTACTCCAGACTGTGTGTTAACAATCTTTCTTCCTCCTCCAGTGGTATCATCCTGAGTTGACCTTAGATCAATTACTAGAGCAAAACCGTTGCTGAAGAACCTGCTGATAGACATAAATTCATCTGCCATTGATTTCTCACACATAGGACAGAAGAATCGTTTTGCCTCTTCGAAGAACCTATTTTTATGAAGTCCTTGAGAAAAGACAGCATTAGGCACACCCTCAATGGTAAGGTTCACTTTATCAATGTTTGGGAAAATATATTCTTCAGAATCAGTTCTCACCCTGTTCACGAACAGGAGGACAATTGCTGACATGCTCTTCCTGGGGATATTTATGTTTTCATTGACAATGGTAAGATCTTTGTCCCAATTACTTGTACGCATTAGTGTGACATGTTTGTAGGACAGTGAGCGGCCTGTTGAATACATCCTTGATACTTCACTTGCAAGGGCGTCATTCTCAATGGTTTCGTATTCTAACTCAAGATTATCAAGTTTATAATTACCCTTAGCTTCACCTCCTTGTGCAGTCATAATCTCATCTGATTGTGGGAGTGTGAGGATGTACATAGGATTATTATTCATGGAGAACGGAGTGTAGAGTCCATGGTCTGCAATTATTTTATCAATTGGTTTTCTAAGCTTAGAACCATACACACTATGAAGAAGTCCATCTGCTACTTTGTTGTCATCACCAACCTTTACACCTGAGTCGTCACCTGAGATTAGCTTTCTCAGGTTTTCACTTCCGAGGCCCTGTTCTGTCATCTTATTTCTGTCACCCTGTGTTAGCCATAGGTCTTTATAAATTTCGTACAAACTCTCTCCTGAACAGTCATAAGCTGTTTCACCTGCTACTTTAACCTGAAGACGTTTTGCAATCAATTTGGCTAGGTTATTGTTAAACCTGCTTTTTGTATTAGAATTCTTGAAGTCAAATAATAGTGCAAGTGACCCTGGAACTAAACAAGAGTCAGGCTTTAGTTTAGGAATGTTAATGTACAGCTCTTCACCTGGGCTGATAGTTGTTGGATTAAATGTTACAACACTTCTAGTTCTTGGTCCTTTTACAGATGTCATGCGGCTCCTCCTGAAGCCAGGCTGGAGTTCTCTTTCTGTGGTATTCATACTTTATACAATATGTAATGTTTAGTTATATTCATACAGTAGAACTACTACGGCACATACAATGACTATCCATATATTATCCGCTGCTAACTCTACTCCATCAGCTATCTTCTGGAATACGGGTGGTAGTTGCACTTGGTTGTTTACCAGCTGACTGATCTTCTTATCAAGCTTTCCTGTTGTGTCACCTACTTTCCACAATATGTTTCTAGTTGATGCTACCAGTCCTATGATTACAGCTGATGAGGAAATTAGAACAGCTGATAAGATGCCTGCATTCTCCCTTGCCCATAACTTAAGCCTCTGCAGTCTCCTACGATCATCCCGTTTAATGAGATCCCTCTTTTTCACTTTGTCTCTTAAGTTGAGAAGTCTATTTAAGTTTGACTCTCTTTGGTAATCATTTGATAGCATTCTGACGTACCTCAGTTCTTCCGACTTTTCTTTGAAATCTTCTTCGTCCAAACTGGATAGTATTAATTCATTTAACAGTCTGTCTCCCCTATCCATTAGATCATTGTATGATAGATTAGATAGGTCAGGGAATTTCTCAGCTAATTGCTCTCTCGTAAGGTCTTCAGTCAATATTTTTCTCCTCCTCAGTTCCTGTATGTAATTAATTTCCTCGTTAATATCCTGGGTCTCCTCGATAGTTTCACTTTCCTCGAGATTCCTATTGAGAAATGATAGTTCGTTGTCTATGGTGTCTATATCCATTTCTTCATAGTTCGGATACTTTTCCTTCAACTCCTCCATTTTCTGGTCATCGTATTCCTCCTGGTGTTCCTCCATAGCTAATTTACTTTGTGTAATAGTTGTACACCATTAAGGCTGCAGCTATAGCTAGTACCCATAAGTGTGACGCTAACCAGGCAATTCCTTTGGCTCCCCATGATAGCGCTGTTGCAATTGCGTTCAGGATTGGAACTAGAATTGGTCCTGCTTTCTTTGCTAAATTTGCTAATGCTTTTGCTACTTTACCAGTGGCTTTTGCTGTATTCACAATGGCTCCCCTAGCATGGATCAATAAGGCTGTAATTAAACTAGCTGTTGACACTGCTATCCCTACAAGTCCCACCTTTTCCTTTCCTACCCAGTCTATAAATCTGCGTAATCTGGAAATATCTTCCAACTGTGCCTCTCTTGCTTCCTCTATTGTTCTCTGTTCTAGTGTCCTATCCCTGGCTTCCTTCAAACTGTCAATTCTTTCTAGGAGGGAATTATACTCAGTTGTACCTTCCGCAGAGGTGGCACGTTCCACGGTTTCACCAATAGCTTCATTAAAGTAGTCAGCCTGAATTTGTAACGCTCCATTGGGACCTGTTCTACCTTCTATACTTGATCCATCAGGTGGGTTAAGTACTCCTCTCAGTTCATTATTTTCTTGCATTGTTAGCCCTGGAAGGTCTCCTAGTTTTGCACTTATATCTATTAACTCAATGTTCTCACGGTCAGCGTATTCCTCACTACTTTCATCAAATTGTGGCTCTTCTTTAGTGTCCTCGTAAATTGATTCATCACTTCTAATTATATCGTCAGGATTCGTAGGTACCTCTTTTATTTTCTTTATAAGGTCCTTGTATTCTCTTAATGCAGTGGAGGTCTTTGAGTACACGAGTTTGCTGGTCTTACCACGTTTCATTATCTGTGTGCCACTTTTATCAATACCTTGTTCACTTCTAAATATCAACACCTCTGTGCCATCGTTGAGTGTTCTTACAGATGATCGTTTGATGAGTTCCCTGACATATTTATTCTTTGGGTCTAGTATTAGTCCCTCCTTACCCTTAATAACTCTTACGACAGCTTGAACACGCTCCACTTGGTTTTCAAAATCTCTCTTTTTATTTGCTGTAAGTCGGTCTTCTGAGAACTTTTTCAGTTTCTCTAGGCGGTCCTTTATTTCATCCCAGTCAGCGTCAAATGATTCGTTGAATGCATCTAGCACATCAGGAAGTACATTGTTTGGGTCTTCCACAAAGTTGACTTCTGGGACAGTTGTGCTTCCTGATGGACCTGAAATGTTCACTGTACCATCATTTCCTTCGGTGAAAGTTGTTTCTTTTATTGCACGTCTCTCCATGAAATTCCTTACATAGTCCAGTTCACTTTTGAGATCGGTTATCACTATAGGATCACTACCATACATAGCCTCATCCTTCACCCTTTTTTCTAGCCTATCAAAGGCTGTCGTTAGGTCATCATAATTAAGATCGTCATATTGAGGATAAGTTTTTTCCGTCTCCTCTAAATCAATGTCATCGTAGTCCTCCATAATACTTTAACCTATGTTAGGGACTTGATGTCTCCAGCTGGTATCCAACTGTTAAATTTGTCATCATAACCTAACCACTTAATGAGAGCCATCTTTTTACCCTTCACCGTTCTTCTTCTTAGTACTTTCTCTATCTTAAAATCAGGTTCCCTTCCTTCAGCGCTATACAGTTCTTGTTCATAAAATCTGCCAATTATCGGTTCATCAGCACTGTCTTTTATTGTGTATGTGTTTGGATGTCCGTGATACACTTCCGTCACAGTGAACAATTCCTCTGTGAAGTTTGCTTCATATCCTTTTGTGAACACTGATTTGTACTTTGAAATCCTAACACTTTCTCCCACAGCAAACTTTGGTTCCAACGGCTTGCCTAAATTGTGTCTAAAAAGTGTCTTCCATACTTCAGTCCAATTGGAATCATTTACACTGTCTGGTGTTGTTTTAATTGATCTATTCACTGAACTGTTGTAATTATCAGTTAAGTCTTGAAGGACGTTTAACCATTTATATGTACTGGCACTGTAAAAGTACTTCCACATTAGCGCTTTCAGTGTTCTGTTAAATCTTTCCACAACGGCGGCCTTTTTATCTGAGTAAGTAGAGAAAAACTCAATGTTATGTTTATTAAGCAATAATTTTACATCCTTGTTGTAGAACTCTGTGCCTTGATCAAACTGGGCGAATTTTGGGTATTTACCAAAGTGATTATTAAATTGCTCTAAAATGTTACTGACCGCGTCCTTCATTGATGTCGCGTTTTTCTTATACACTGGTACTGTGAATGCGTACCTACTTAGTATTTCGATTGATGTGAGAATCCATCGGTATCCCTTGTTCTTGTCATCATATTTTGTCATGTCAACTAAATCCATTTGTAACTGTTCACCTAAAGTTTGAACGTACGTCTGTCTGAACTTATGTTTCCTAAACACTTGTCTGTACCTAGTGTATGTGTCTTGCTCGTTTATCCATTTCTTAACCTGGTTTCTGGTTACTTTAAGTCCGTCTGATACTGCTCTAAGATATAGTTTCTCTGGTGTCTGGAATCCAGTCTTAGGATTGTAGTAAATATCTCGTAGCCCCTGTTCTTTCATAATATCATCGTCCATCTTATATTAACCAATGTAAGCTAACTACCGACTACGTTAGTAGACGCCAATAACTACACAAGTAGTTATTGCTCAAGGTACATCTCAAGTAGCACTTCACCTATATCAGTAGGTTTCCCGTCTTGATCTGTCATGTGGAATATAAGTTCTGAGAAAGAACCCTTGATAACTGAAATCCTACTTTCAACATCAATGTAACTAACAACTGAGCCTAATAATGGTCTGTCAGTTGGAACTGTAACACTTGTTATTACATCGCTGGGTCTTCCCCAAGGGTTAACGTTAAAACTGTTACTTACTATGTTGCAGTGTATATTTACGTATCGTAGACCATTATTAAAGTCAACTTTGCTATCACTTGTCAAACTCCTCCCTTTTAGTAGGATCATAGGATTATTAAATCTATTAAAGCCAAGCATTGTTAAAAACCTGGTTTCTATTGTAATGTCCTGCTTTACAGCTTCTATCTGACATCCTGCTGTTTCTGGAAAATATGTTAGTTTAACACCGTGTCTCTCAAGTAATTTTCTCATACTATCAAATGTATAGTAGCCCTTGCTGACAATCACGTCAGTTTCACCACCAGCTGTTTTAACCTTGAGAATAGTTGTTGGTTCTCTTATATTGAAATATTCCCAGAAAACTGAAACTCTCTTCACAAAGACTGAATTATAATTACTTGTTAAAACTGAATTCTGTAGTGATATAATAGTGTGCGAACTCTGGAGTAAAATTGTGAACTTCATCTTAATAACATACGTTAGGTTATTAAGATGGAGAATGCATATGCTAAGTACCTTGAACTTGTAAAGAGTCCTAGAGTTATAAGAGCATCTAATAGAGCACGTAAGGATGCAATTAAAGCTTTCATAAAGAAGTACCCGAATGTCGACCTAGAGAAGTTTGAGTTCGTGGTTAACATAGATCTTAACGGTGGAATTACCGATGTAGAGACTAATTATAAGGTAGATGATAGTACCTCTTATGGTATTACCTCAGATGGATTTAAAAGTAATCCTGAATTTGTAAAGTCACTTCATTCCCTTAAGACACCGACTAAATGGTCATCAGTTTGGGCTTCAGGGGGTAATGTACCTGACTACTCAAGTGTAAGAAATGTTGAACATGAATGGCCGTTGGTTTGGGCTTCAGGAGGTAACTTACCTCCTTTTACAAACTTGAGGGAAGCTGATCATGTATGGGGTCTTCACCATTATCCAGTTTTTCAGAAGGCTGTTAATCTAGAATCACCCCTGCATAATTTTAAGGTGTACGTTTCTGATTAGGATTACTTCCTTTCTAAATTTAGTCCAATAGAGCGGTGTGAGTGGTCAGGTAAGGCGGTGCTTTATGAGAACAATAAGGGCTTAGTTGAGCTTCCCAAGGGTGTTCCAACTGATATACGCAATGTGAGCATGGACTTCGAGAATGAACCATATTTTGCTCAAATATGTTCCGCGTATATTGCAACTTTCCTATGCGGCATCTCCGTTAAGAATCTAGAGTGGAATGATTCTACCCCAAAACAGATTACCTCTATAGCTAGATACCATCTTTACTATACAATGAGAAAGTTTATGAAAAATCCTGCGCTAATGAAAAAGTATGATATAAGTGGAATGAAAGGGCACTTTCCGGTTAAAACTCAGGATTTCAATGGTGCCTCTTCGGGAGGTGGAACATATGTTAAAGTTGGATGGGTAAACTACACTAACTCCGACTATCTTCACTTCATACCATATGAGTCAAGTGGAATCACACAAGTCGGAGTGCAGTTGCTTATGGAAAGTGTGGAAAGTTATGTTTATTCTGTGTTGGGAGCACAAGCTAGAACAAGGTGGAGTATTGTTAGCGGTCAATCAGGTAAGGCCCTTCAATCACAAGAGGCTTTTAGAAAAATTGTTGAAGATACTATAGTTCAAAGTAGTGTAAACACTACAATTAGCAACATGAGAGTAGCTATAAGGGACACTAATGTAATATTAAATATGGCAATCAATCCTAACATAATACTGGTTCCTTCTAAGCTAATCATTCTTGAAACACCTATTCCTGGATATAATAATATACTCTCAAGTCCTACAAAGACAACTACATTTGGGGTTAATACCAAACTAAACTATGTTGGGGAAAAGAAAACCGGCCATTCAAAGAAACAGCACCAGGACACTACACCGGTTCACCACCTTGATGTTATTGATGGACATAAAAAGGTTCCAGGAGGCTCTACGGTCACTAAGCCAAAGGAAGGTTCTACAAGTTCTGAGACTCAAGTTGTTCCTATCATGAAACATGATGTGGTTAGTACCCATGAGTCTTCAGGAGTTAACGCTATCGCTGGAGCTGGGATTGGTGCTATAGTTGTATTTATTCTAATGAAAATTATCTTGTAAACATTGTGTATGTTATAAAATGGCTCTCTATAGAGGATACAACAAAGGAGTAAATAAAGTTGATCCATCAAGCGGTAGTGTGTTTGATAAGGACGGATTTACCATGAAGGGTGACATTGAGATGGATGGTAACGAGGTAAAAGGTCTGGGTGCACCTACAGATGATACTTCTGCGACCACAAGAAAGTGGGTGGATGATGAGATCGTTAAACAGGCTGCCCTTGCAATTCAACCTGCAGGGTTTACAATGACTGGGAATATTAACATGGGAGGTAATAAGATAATTAATCTTGATAATCCTACTAACCCAGGTGACGCTGCCAGTAAGAGCTGGGTTGAGGGTAGTCGTGCTAGTCTACCTGGACTTATCCTTACAAATGACCTCAATATGTCAACAAATGACCTCAATATGTCAACAAATGAGATAAAGGCTCTAGGTGATCCTACAACTGGAAAGTCTGCTGTTAGTAAGGATTGGGTAGTTGGAATGCTAAATAGGCCTGTATCTGGACTTAATATTGCTAGTGATATCGATATGAAGGACCATGAGATTAAGAATCTTAAGGATCCCTCTGAGGACCAGTCTGCTGTCACAAAAAAGTGGGCTGTTGATAATAACTTTAGACTAAAAGGTGGAATTATGCAAGCAGATGTGTCCATGGGAGGTTGGAGATTGTTTGATCTTATTGATCCTAAAATTGATAGTGAGGCTACATCAAAAAAGTGGGTTGAAGATAAAATATCTACACTTCTTGGTCCCTCCGGTTTTAAAATGTCAGGAGCAATTAATATGGACGGAAATAGGATAAAAAATGTTTCGGTTCCTAGGGGTGGAGGGGATCCTGTTAACCTTGATACTCTAACATCAAATTTAAATTCTTTTAGAACTGGAAGTGATAGATATTACTTCAAAAGGAATGGCGGCTCCATGACTGGAAATATGAATACAAATAACTTTCAAATCTATTCTAACGCTGTCCCTGACAGAGACTCCTCCCTTGTGGCTAAAAAGTGGGTGGAAGATAAGATTAGCGGTGGTAGAAGTAAGCGTGAGACTTACAGTGGACTTACACTTTCTGACGACCTTGATATGGGAAACAATGAGATTGTAAAGTTAGGTGCTCCTACAACTGATAATTCTGCTGTGTCTAAAAAATGGGTCACGGATCATGTCAGTGGGAGTTCTGTAAGTAGTAGTGGCTTTACTATGGGCGGTAATATTGATATGGGAGGAAACGAAATTGAAAATGTTGGGGATCCTACTAGTGATCAATCTGTGGTTACAAAAAGCTGGTTTAATTTAAATGAAGGAACATTTCTACGGTTAGACGGAACAGGATCTTTAAATGTTGGTGGCACTATTAATTTTAGCAATGCACCTAACTGTAACTCCGACCCTGGAAACTCAAATAGTCTTGTAAGGTTGCAGTATCTTAAAACGTACACAACAAACTTATTAAAACTTAGCGGTTCGCGAGCAATGACAGGTGGTCTTAGAATGGGTGGAAATGAAATAATAAATATTGGTGCTCCTACAACTGATAATTCTGCCGTGTCTAAGAAATGGGTCACGGATCATGTCAGTGGAAGTTCTGCAAGTAGTAGTGGCTTTACTATGAGCGGTAATATTGACATGGCTGGTAATACTATTACGGGGCTAAATAGTGGGTCAACTGGAAGTTCTAGTGCTGTTTCTTACGGTTCTATGACTTCCTGGTGCTCACAGTTTCTTAAGCGTGATGGTGGTGTTCTAGCTAGCAATTTAGATGTTAACGATTACGAGTTAACTAGGGTTGGAAGTCCTACTACTAACGGTTCAGCTGTTAATAAAAAGTGGGCGACTGATGAGTTCATGAGTAGTAGAGGTGGACTGGTAAAGGGTGATCTAGACATGGGAGATTCAAGTGGAATTCTTGATCTAAAGGATCCTGTAAATGATAAGGATGCTGTTAACAAACAGTGGGTAGAAAAGAATTTCCTAAAACCTTCAACTGGTCTTACTCAAGCAACGGCTGACTTAAGATATGTAAGAATACGGCGACATATACATGCAGAATGGATTTGGGGTTATCGTGGTGTTTCAATTGCAGCAACAAGGTACTACGCTTACTGTCACGATCAGATTCCACCTTCATGGAGAACAGATCCTATTAACAATATGGCAGACCTGAACCTTGAGTCAATTACTATCAAATCAGATTTCCCACGTTTTTCAACTGTTCTAAATATACCCCTAGCTTTGATCCTGTGGGCTACCATTTGGGAAAAGCAATCTAACGGAAAATTTACACAGGTTAAAAAGGAAATCACTCTTGCCACGGTTGACTTAACAAGACTGCAGTACACTTGGTTCAACGGAACTTATACGACTACCGGTGGAAGTACAGCTTGCTACGTTTTCAAGGGTAATAGTATGTTCTATTTAGGAGCCCAGGCTGAGCTGGTAGATAATACGCTAGCCTGGTGTGTGATAGTTAAACCTGAACACTCAATGCCCACTGGTACTAGCATGGATATGTCCTTTTGCTGGTCACTCCGATATTCGGGGTCAGGTAGTTAACATGTGGTTTATCATAAGATAAGATGTCAAGGTGGAGGTCATGCTTCTCCTGCTTAGGTAAGATTTGCGGTTGTCGTAAGAGTTCTAGAAATGGAAAGGCTGGTGATATAAATTTCTCTGTATCAAATAATATTAACATTGGAGTGAGCACACAGAATAAAAAGGATGATTTAGAATTTATACCAAAATCTGAAAGTTACGGTCACCTAAAAATGCTTGAGGAAAAATCAGTTGTTAAATAGAGAATTTAATAGGAATAAAATAAATGATCTAAAAAAGTGGTCTAGAAAAATGATGGTAAAAAAGACCAGATAAAATGGTCTAGAAAAATGAGGGTAAAAAAGACCAGAAAAAATGGTCTAGAAAAATATGAGCCCGCGTTGGTTGGGGGAAAATATGGAAACCGCTGACCGGAAGTTGGGTGAGATCGCGGGCCGAAAAAGTGGTCTAGAACCCTCATTCCCTATACTACTAAACACGTATGTCTGCTTTCCAGTTTTAGAAAGCACCTTCAGTTTAGCGCCACGTACTTTCTCATCACGACCTTTCACCAGATTCAAAACCTTGCCCATTCTCCATTGCGTCCGCGGTGTAGGGTCGTCGTCTTTGATCAGCACTACATCTCCGAGTTCGATCATTCTAGCCTTTCCACCTTTCTCCTTGCGGTAAATGTTCATCTGACGAAGTTCATTTAGATAATTACTACGAAATCTCGACCATAAATCTTTCAATAACTTTCGTAAGTGGAATAACCGTTTCTTGCAATGTTCGAGACTCATAACAGCCACAACGTCCGTAGTTAGAACCTTCTTTCCCGTAGACATGCTGCGACCATGCATAAGATGAAATGGCGTTAACGCCTCGTCTAAATCGTCCTCGCTCACGTAAGCTAACGGTCGGTTGTTGATTGCGACCTCTATCTCACATAATATAGTTTGAAGTTCCTCAAACGTTATGAATGCTTTACCAAGAGTTTTCTTCAAGCATCCCTTCACCGATCGGACTAAACGCTCGTAAAACCCGCCCCACCATGGCGAAGCAGGTAAAATAAAATACTGTTGAATACCTTGCAGTGTCATGAATTTCTTTACCTCCGCTGACTTAAATGTTTTGAAATTGTCGTTTATAACTAAATCTGGAATTCCTCTTCGCGCCATGAATCGTTTGAATCCCCGCAGAAAACCGTGAACTGACATGTCCGGAACAAGTTCCAAATGGATAGCACGGCTCGAAGCACACGTCAGCAACAAAATATACGATTTATTGTTTCCCAGCCCATCCTTCACAAATAAAGGTCCTGCGAAATCCAGACCAGTAAATTGGAAAGCATGCCCCAAGTGATCCACTCTAAAATGCGGTAAATCAGGGCTCGCAGGAGCACGTACCGGTCGCCCCTGATATCTTGTACACGTAACACATTTCCTTAAAACTTCCTTTACGCTTTTCCGTCCTTTTACAATCCAGAATTTGCGCCGAATATGTGCCAATGTTGTTTCCACGCCATGATGTAACGTCGCTTCATGAGCATCCAAAATAACTAACCGAGTGAAATAACTATTGTTCTTGCTTCGAAGTATAACTGGGTGTTGTTCTTCATGCTTTAATGACGTATTAGCAAACCGTCCCTTTAGTCGTAACAGTTCATCTTTGTCTTCAAATGGGCGAAGTGAAGCACAGAGGTTGGCATAATTATCTTGTTCTTTCATTAATAACTGCTCGTCCTTTATCCACATGTGTGACGCTGCGTTATATTCACTGACAGTCAATACGTCCTCGCAAACCAGATCGTCTTGTTTCTTTACTCGTTTCCGTACGTTCTTTATGAAACGTATCACATACCCAGTAACCAGAACAAGTTTCTTTAATGAACTGTAACGAGTACAATCAATGACATCACTAATTGAACATCTGCTGTTGTTAGGCGTGCCCTTCTCTGTCGTGTTACTGAAGTTGACAACTTCAGTAGGAACTTCTACATCAACCCTCCCAACCAAAGAGTTTTCGTTACCACAACTAGCTTTTACCCTGTCAACTTCCAACTCCTGTGACCACAACATCAAAGGTCCCTTAAACCAACAACCCGAAAAAGAATCTTTTAAATTTGAAGACAGTCGAGTAGGGATATCAGCAGGATTTACCTCACCCCTAACAAAATGCCACTTCTCACGATCCACCACTTTCCTTATAGCCGCAACCCTATTCTCAATCCAAGGCTCCTAACTCTTCTCCTTCCCATTAACCCAACAAAGAGCAACCTCGGAATCAGTCCAACAGAATATATCATGCAAATTAATTCGGTTTGCAAGTATGTCAAAGATCACTTGTGTTTTTAGAATGACTGCTAAATTTAGAGAACCAATCACATGCAGTTATCGCTACATGCTGGGGGGCGTGCAACTGCACGTGCTGTACAATAGCGACAATATAAACAATACAGAAACATTTTCAAATCGATAGTTTTGTCACTTGTCCGTTGTGAAACGAAATATTATTATATTTTTACAATTGTTAACTTGCTAGTTTATTTTATCCTACGTTACTTTTCAGTATATTTAAGTTATTGTCAGTCGAATTTCGGTTATAAAGTATAAAGTTTTAAATTTTGTAAATATATAGCGGGCTCAAATTATAGTCATCGGTTTACATACAAAACGAAGGCGCGCGCATTCAAAACCGGTTAGAACTGGTTTAATACCGGTTTACTCCGTCCAGAATTTTGGAAGAACAAAAACACAAAAACGGCAGAGCCTTATTTTCTACGCGAGGGGAAATCAGGCTCTGCTATCAGGGTACCAAAATCTCAACATTTAAGCGAAAAAAAAAACTCTTTAAAATGACAGCTAAATACATGAACTTGAACTTAAAACATGTACGCACTAAAGAGATTGAAAAAATAGGGGGTAAATAGCTACAAAGTATTGTTGAATTTCAACGATTCTGCTTGGAATATTAGCAAACAATTTGCATATATTTTAAAAAATCTCCTGTCATTTTCAAAGTTCAAAACTACGACTGTACGAGCAAAGTTAAGAAAATTTTACCGCAGTGTCAGCAGTTTCCAACAGTCTTTGTCTGTGTGCAATCCAGAACCAAAATTAGGCCATTTTGATAAGCTTTTTCCCTTTAAATGCACCATTGACCCTCGGGTCCTTCGCCGCTTGTTGCTGCTAGTAGGCTATCACTAACAGCCTACTAGTAGCGTAGCCAATCAGAACGCACGATACATGGTTTATACTAATACGCTATAGGTATGAGATAATAACAATACCTTACTCGACTGTTAACAATAATAACGTCGTTAGATTATTAAACAGTCGGCGGTGTTTCCCTCGACCAGTTTACCCTAAATAGCTTTCTAAATACATGTAGCTACTTAAAATGTTTCAGTAAAGGGTCCTCATCGCCAAATTGGTTCAATTTTCTTATTTTTAGTAGCTTGGTCAAAAATCGCTATTGTTTATTGAATGATACTGCCTACACAGATTCCCATGCAAATTAGTTTAAACGAAAAAAGCATGAATTTGCTAGCTCGGTGCTCAGACTCACGTTACAAGATGCATGGGCAACATGGCTGGATATTTGTTGTAACACGATTTCAGTTGATTGAAGTTCAACTTTGTCACGCGACAGTAAATTTTGTTTTAGTCAATGAAACTATTTTTCCAACTTTTTACAGGCTATTATCTGTTCATCGAAACTTCAAGTCCACGACAGTTCGGTGATAAAGCTATAATTTTAACACCGTACTTGGACGGCCCACAATGCATGAACTTTTCCTACCATATGTACGGTGGTGATATTGGAGTATTGAACATCTATGCGAATAACCAAAGGATGTTTTCAAAATCGGGAAATCAAGGAAACCGATGGGTGGGTGTGGAAACGCCGATCTTACAAGGTGGAAGATATATGGTGAGCAAAGAAAGCAGTATTTCAGATACACTGACGGTAGCACAATATTTGAAGTAAAGACCATAGGAGGTTCTTTTCTTGGGTATTAACACACATTATTTTTTGCACCTAACCCGAAAGCATAACTCAACGCTATTGTGACACAAAAATTTCGTTTTAATTTCGTTTTCAAGAGCCAAAATAAAACTAATTAATCAATTTTTTGTATAAATATTTAAGGTTAAGTTTGAAGGTGTTAGCGGTCGTGGTTACGAAGGTGACATTGCAATCGATGCAATCAGCTTCACTCCAGGAAGTTGCTCATTCCAAACACCAAAACCATCAACACCTCGGCCAACAAATCCTCCAACCACATCAACACTTCGGCCAACAAATCCTCCAACCACATCAACACCTCGGCCAACAAATCCTCCAACCACATCAACACCTCGGCCAACAAATCCTCCAACCACATCAACACCTCGGCCAACAAATCCTCCAACCACATCAACACCTCGGCCAACAAATCCTCCAACCACATCAACACCTCGGCCAACAAATCCTCCAACCACATCAACACCTCGGCCAACAAATCCTCCAACCACATCAACACCTCGGCCAACAAATCCTCCAACCACATCAACACCTCGGCCAACAAATCCCCCAACCACATCAACACCTCGGCCAACAAATCCTCCAACCACATCAACACAATCTCCGACTCAAGCAGGTACTGTAGTGGTCTACTACTTTGATTATTTTTTTAATTAATACAACCAAGTCACTATTTCACGTGTCCGGGTTGTGCTCCACTGCCCGTTCATCTTCATATTTAGGAAAGTAATATATTTATGAAAGTATATATATATATATATATATATATATATATATATATATATATATATATATATATATATATATATATATATATATATATATATATATATATATATATATATATATATATAATACTTAGCAAAGTAATATCACAACTTGTGGAGATAAATAGTCTTGCAAGTATGTAAGATAAGTAAGCATGATAATACTTGATATAAAAGATCATGGAAAAGCCCCGATGGCGAGTGAGCTAAATAATGTATGTATGTGACTGTGTATGTGTGTATCTTCCCCGATCTAAGGTCTGTGTACTGACTTACTGCGACGTCCAATACCTTTTGACAGGAATTTACCTATAGTGTAGGTTCCAATTCACCCCAGAAAGAGGCTAACGATAAATGTGCTGGTTGTGCCCGACAACTAATAGTTTTTGCATGATGAGGGACAAGATAGAGTACAATTTTAATTTCTACTCTATGCAGCTAGAAAACTGCTCATACAAACCTCGCCAAAATTATATATAAGTTAAATTATTATGTATTGAATGTTTTTGTGGCGTTTTCTTCGTTGTAAAAATTGGGAAAACTGCTCAGATCATACATAAACTGTCTGTACCAGTGTTGGTAGTACCAATGTGAAAATGCTGTGCTGAGTGCATGGTTATACTACTACCTTAAAAAATTAGTTAGTACTAACTCTTGACGAAGGGCCTTCGCTCGAAACGTCGAGTTTCTGCTTATTTTTTTAGGTAATAATATAACCACTCAGCACAGCATTTTCAAATCATACATGCCTTGATTTGTATACAATATATTAAAGAAAAATGACATTCTAGTATTTTACCATTTTGCGATTTCGGAAAAAATTAAATCATGATGTACAATGATATCCAAAAGAATAAATTATTTGACAATTTTTACTTGAAAACACTTTAAAAGGACTAGTTAATCTAGTCTATTTTACCGCCACCATCTTGTTTTTCGCGTAAATCTCGCGCATGCGCAGATAAATTGCACCTATGTTGAGTTGACCATATCTGTAATTTCAACCTTGCTTTCTTAGGTCACTATATGTTGGATTCACTATTTATTGCGTGACTGCAGAGTTATGTTTCCATCTTCGTTTCCAGGCCATGTGTAGTGTTTTCGTTTCCCCACTTGGCTTCGCACTTCGCGCCGCCATGCAGGGCAGGGTTGATATCAAGTTACTATTGGAGATCGTGGTGCTAACGCTAAACTTAACTGTTTAAAATTATATACAATAACTATTTACACGTAATACAGGGTGTCCCAAAAAACCCAAACTATTGAAATAACGTACTGTTTAATAAACTCGCAGGTCGTGTTTTATTAGGTCTAAAGCCACTTGCGCACGACTACAAATTCAATAGATATACTGCCTTATTAGCATTCTTTATATAAAGAATACTAATGATGACACGACTACAATAGATACTGCCTTATTAGCATTCTTTATATAAAGAATACTAATTAGGAGTGTTTTATCAGGTTTAAAGCCGCTACACGTGACATATTATCAGGTTGACATGATTTGCCAATAAGCTTATGAATTATTAATGAGACAAGACGCCTGCTCAGGCGTTCACACTGGCCTGAAAATAACGACATACGTGCTATGGTGCAAAAGGCAGGAATACAAATCATAAAAAAATTAAAAGACCTTTTAAAAAAATAAAAGACCTTTTCGGGAGACGTAATGGTGCAAATCTATAACTAGGAGTTACTATCGCAAGGAAAGTACTGCCTTTTTGGCATATGAACTGAATGCAAAAATTTATATACTTCTAGACAATTCTCTATTCTTGGTTATATCCCCAATGTTTCCTGCACAAATTTGTTTCTCGTTCATCATTTAAGCCCGTTCACAAACTCATTCTTAAATTGTGTGCACGGAATACGAGTAAATAGCCAACATGAAAATGAAGCCATTGGGTCAAAAGTGGATATTAAGGTCTATTATTAACCTATTAGCTGCCAATGCACACTACTTTAGTATTAACTCTGGCTAACGCCAGACCAATTTACACTGTGTAACGCCAGATGATTTTACTTGTTAGTGGCAGAGTACTGTCAGTAAATGGGTTAACAAACACATCTGCCAATGTCTCTTATTAACCCATTAACAGGCAATGCACCCTGCTTCAAATATTCTTTAGTAACTCTTCAGAATTTGCTCAGAGTCAATGCGAGTAAAATACATTTTGTATTCAAGCTCTTTCATATACAAAGTTTCGTTTGAATACGGCACAGTGCATGTAGGAATATTTATTTTGAATTTTTCAAAATATCCGTTCGGGTTTACTCGCACGCACGCGCCACGTTTATAGCTCGATCGATGCACGTGCAAATCATGCCGACCTACAGAATCGACATGCGCCGCGCTATAAAAATATAAATATTCAAAGGATTAGTTTTTGATGAGGGTGGAAAACCGATCTACCCGGAAAAACCCACGTCTAACAATGATCTAAGCACAGGAGAGAACAAAACAAAGAAGCACATAGAGTAACACAACGTAAGCAAATATACCCTGCGCTGGATGAACAGCAGCAGGCCCAATATACCTTATGCAGAACGACATCACAAGGTTTGATGCCCACAAGGAATGCTGGTCTTAGTAGTCATCGCCCGGGAAAATTAAAGAATTAAAAATGGTCACTATCGAAATTTCCCGGGCGACTACTACTTTGGACCTTAGGTGTCGCGCACGTGTATCGTTGACGTTAGGCTCTTGCTTGGGTGAATTGGAACCCACATCCCGTGCAATGGACCTTATGCATGACGTCACAAGGCTTGATGCCCACGAGGAATGCTGGTCTTATAGTAGTCATCGCTCGGGAAATTTCGATAGTGGCCATTTTTAATTCTTTACAGTCAATTTCAGCTGACTTTTCATCGTAAGATTCCGAACTTCGTTTCCCGAACTTCGCAAATTCGTTGCCAAGTTCAAAAGTTCATAATGAAATTCACAAACAGGTTTGTAAACTGGGCATTTGATTGGCTGGTTTGATTTAATAGCCAATCAGAGGCTTTGTTTACAAACCTGTTTGTGAATTTCATTATGAACTTTTGAACTTCGCAACGAATTTGCGAAGTTCGGAACGAAGTTCGGAATCTTACGATGAAAAGTCAGCTGAAATTGACTGTAATTTTCCCGGGCGATGACTACTAAGACCAGCATTCCTCGTGGGCATCAAGTCTTGCGACGTCATGCATAAGGTCTATTGCACGGGATGTGGGTTCCAATTCACACAAGCAAAAGCCTAACGTCAACGATACACGTGCGCGACACCTAAGGTCCAAAGGCGCGATTAGTTTTAGATTAGGAAGGAAAACCGGTCGACCCTGAAAACCACATCGAAGCACAGCAAAGAACTAACCAAAGAAGCACAGAGAGTAACTCAATGTAAGTTAATACCCTACGAAGGATCAACAGCAGCAGGCTCAAATCAGCGTTAAGGAGATAACCACGTACATCTGTCATTTCAACATTACTTGCATACGTTATTGCGCGTTGCATTCACTATTTCTTGCGTGCCTGCGGCAGAGTTACGTTTCCAGGCCATATGTAGTGTTTTCCTTTCGCCACTTGAGTTCGCACTTCGCGAGACCAACGCAGGGTTGACGATTTGACGTTGACTTAATTTAATCAAGTAAATTTCACTTTCTTAATTTAACTATTGTTTAGCCAATTGTAACTTTGACAATGGAGATACCTGCAGTTATCAAAATGGTGCTGGACAGTTTAATTGGACGGTTAATAGAGGTCAAACACCCAGTAGTGGAACAGGACCAAGCTCTGACGTCAGCGGCAGAGGTAAACTGTTCAATAAACTTTTAGGTCCTAGAAACAGTGAAAGATATGATTAGGGTTACGATGGGTTTCTTTAGCATAAGGTTTGGACATTTACGATAAATCGCAATTAGGTTTGGGTAGGATCTTAACAATAACTTATTCCGTTGTTAACACTAAAAATAACGTCCCTAGATTCTCAAACTGTCGGCGTTTTGCTCGTCCTATTTTAAAGAGATACGAAAAACTTAAACTTTTTGAGTAAACGCTCCTCATCCGCAAATTGGTTCACTTTTCTTATTTTGTAAGAAGCTTGGTCAAAAACTCTACTGTGTACTGAAGCCGAGCTACTGCCTACCCAGGACTCCCATGGCGATAGTATGAATTCTAGATATCATCGGCGCTTAGACTCACGTTACAAGACGACTGCCTTTGAAAAAAATGGTCAACGTGGCCGAATATTTGATGTAACGCGATATTAGTTGATTCAAGTACAACTTTGTGACGTTACAATTAATTTTGTTTTGGTCAATAAAAGTATTTTTTCAAATTTTTATAGGTTTTTATCTGTTCATCGAAACTTCATTTCCACGACAGTTCGGTGATAATGCTACAATTTTAACACCTTACTTGAACGGCTCACAATGCATGAAATTTTCTTACCATATGTACGGTGGTGGTATTGGAATCTTGAACATCTATGCGAATAACCAAAAGATCTTTTCAAAATCGGGAAATCAAGGAAACCGATGGGTGGGTGTGGAAACGCCGATCTTACAATTTGGAAGATATATGGTGAGTAAAGAAAGCAGCATTTCCATACATACTGTACACAATAGCACAATATTTGAGCCTGGCAAGACCATTCTCGTTTCAAAATGGCAGGGAAGAAGGCCCTGAGGAAACTGCGGTACGAACATTCGTCATTCGTTTCCCTTGGGTCTGAACCCACAATATTTTTTAACCGAACACGAAAGGATATCCAAATGCTGTTGCTGGACAAGGATTTCATTCCAAATTCGTTTTCAAGAGCCAAAATGAAACTGATTAGTCAATTTTTTGTATAAATATTTAAGGTTAAGTTTGAAGGTGTTCGCGGTCGTGATTACCAAGGAGATATTGCAATCGATGAAATCAGCTTTACTCCAGGAAGTTGCTCAGGTACTGTACTGGTCTACCACTTTTACTATTTTTTAGTTAATACAACCAAGTCACTATATACCAATGATGATCATATGTCCGGTTTGTGTTCCACTATATTCCCGTTCATCTTCATATTTAGGAAAGTAATATCACAATTTGTAAAGATAAATAATCCAGCAAGTAAGTAAGATAAGTAAGCATCATACTTAATGTAAAAGGTCACGGAAAAGCTCCGATGACGTGTGAGTTGAATAATGTGTGTATGTTAGTTAGAGCGCTGCTCCGGAATGGCAAGGCCGTAGGTTCGATTCCTACCAGAGGACCTTGTGCTGCATTTTTCACAGTCGTTCCTGGTTAGGTCTTAAAATGTATATATTCTCACTTTGATTACAAACCCTAACATCCTAATATTAATTCCACCAAGTGAAGTGCAAGAACTAAATTATTCAAGTCCACCTTATCACAACCCGCACACCCGATTACCTATATATACATGAACTTACGGTTACAGCTCAACAGCTGGCCTCTGTAGCTCAGTTGGTTAGAGCGCTGCTCCGGAATCGCAGGGCCGTAGGTTTTTCTTACAGGAGGACCTTGTGCTGCATTTTTCGCAGTCGTTCCTGGTTAGGTCTTAAAATGTATATATTCTCACTTGGATTACAAACCCTAACATCCTAATATACCGTACAATACCTTTTGACAGGAATTGTCTGGAATTTGCCTTTTGACAGGAATCTTTGCTTAATGCAATTACAGAGTGTGTGGGTTCTAATTCACCCCAGCAAGAGGCTAACGATAAATGAGCCCGACAACTAATAGTTTTTGACGAGGGAGGAAAACCGGTCGACCGGGAAAAAAACCCACATCTATGCACAGGAGAGAACCAACCAATTAAACTCATAGGGTAAATCAATGTGTAAACACCCTACGATGGATTAACAGCAGCAGGCTCAATTCAGGGATAAGGAGCTGACCACATCTGTCATTTCAACCTTGCTTTCCTAGATTATTGTCGGTTAAATTCACCATTTATTACGTTACGGCCGTATTATGTTTTTATCTTCGTTTCCCGGCCATATGCAGTATTTTCGTTTCCCCACTTGGCTTCGCACTTCGTTAGGTTAGGGCGGGGTTGATATCGAGTTAAATGAGACCGAACTGGAAGTGAGTCAGGTCTGTTCATAAGCTAGCCATCCATCGGGCACGCGTCAGGCATAAACTTATGCAAAGAGCTAACGACTTGTTTCGATTGAATGTCCAGTCAAGTCAGGCACGACTACAAACTCCCCATTTGGATAAATTGGATTATTGATTGAGTAAACCAAATATATACTAATAAGGTATTGGAGATTGTGGTGTTAATCAAATAAATTTCACTTTCTTAATTTCATTTGTTTTAGCCAATTGTAACTTTGACAATGGAGATACCTGCAGTTATCAAAATGGTGCTGGACAGTTTAATTGGACAGTTAATAGAGGCCCAACACCCAGTAGGGGAACAGGACCAAGCTCCGACGTCAGCGGCAGGGGTAAACTGTTAAATAAATTTTTAGATCTTAGAAACAGTGAAGGATATTGTTGTGATCAAGAGACATGACCAAGAAAAGTAAAATATATTTAATAAAGCAAAACAAACAGGCCCAATACAGCAATACTAAATTGTGTTACGGTTAAACAAAAACAACATGCTTCTTTATAGTCTCAGGCCTCCAGGCGTATTGCCAGGCATGCGGGCAATAACATAAATAAATTAACATAACATTACAACCCCTTTTTTAAGTAAATGTTTTGAAAATAGAAAAAGTCAGGTTTAACAGCAAGTTCTAGTCAATATAGAATTGTTTTTACTACGACTCGGTCCAAGACCTCATGATTTCACAATTGCAAAGTCTCGCATATGAGTAGGTGGCTTTGCAACTCTACCAGAACGAGTTTGGATGCCCTGTTCACTGTTGTTTCGAACACAAGGTTGTCTTGACTGTGGCGCAGAACGATCAGAAGTAGACCTTGATGGGAGTAAAGGTGGATGATTGGGAGTAAAGGTTGGTTGATTGGGTTGTGGTAGTTGTGCCGCTAAAGGGGTAGGTGGTATATCCATTTCATCAGCAGCAGCATCATACATATCGAATCTTTCCGGCGTGCTAAGAAGATCTCTTCTATTTCTACGTATGATTGTTCCTTTCTCTGTTTTAACAGCATAAGATCTTGGCTGCTCAACTCTTTCCATTACCTTTCCCTTCACGTGCCATGATTTACCATCCCTAATTCGTACTGATTGTCCTTCTTTAAGAGGTTGCAAATTCTTTGCATGTTGATCGTGATACCAGGGTTTTTTCAGGGAATTTTTAGGGCCGTTAAACACGTTAAACGGCCCCAAAATCTCAATCTTGAATTGAGTTTTGAAACTCAATCTTCTCACCAAAGTTTCAGTGCAGTAAAAATGAAGTTCTTTGGGCTAAATTCGTGACGTGTGGAAATTAGTTTTCAGTTGGAAACCCGTCAATTAAAAAAAAATGGCTGGAATTCATCTCACAACACAAGAAAAACTATGCATTCGCCATCTTTAACCAATTTATAGTGTCCCTTAGTGCCCCTGCTTTAACACATTCCGTCTCAACTACATTTATTGAGTACAGGTGTCAGCCCCCCGGTAGGGGAGGGGGGGGGGGTGCAGCCACCCCAGCTGTTCAGCTAAACTCAATCTTCTCTGCAAAAGCGGACCCAAGAGAAAATCCTGAAAAAAACCCTGGATACTCTTTAACCTTTTGTGACCCAAGCAAAGTAGGTGATGTTTTCTCAGTTTTTATTGAAGGTAAAGGTGTTCGAAGATGGAGATTCATTACCTTAAATTAATGCTGGAGACGGGAAATTGTCAGTTCGAGGAGTTGAACGTAATGCAAGTAGTGCAAGGCAAGGGTCATCGCCACTTTTAAGAGCCTTTTTTATGGTCTTCTTTACAGTTTGAATAGCTTTTTCTACGAATCCATTTCTCTTTGGGTATCTGGGGCTTGACGTATCATGTTGGAAACCCCACTCTTTCGCAAATGATTTATACTGATGTGAAGAATATGGAGGACCATTGTCACTAACAACAGTCGTAGGTATACCAAATCGAGCAAATATACTTTTGGTATGTTGCACAACAATTGAGGCTAGGGTATTTGGAAGAGCACTTACTTCGAAATACTTCGATGTGTAGTCAACAACAATCAGGTAATCTTTATTCTTTAACTGAAACAGATCAGTTCCCACTTTCTCCCAAGGAGTTGATGGAACTTCATGAGGAATCAGTTTTTCAGACGGCTGATAATTTCTGTTTTCCACGCAAGCATCACACGTAGAAACAATATCAACAATTTCACTAATCATACCTGGCCAATAAAGTGTTGATCTGGCACGATCTTTACACTTTTCTATTCCAAAATGACCATGATGGATCTTTTGTCGCATTTCATCTCGAAGACTTGATGGTACAATGATTCTGTCACATTTGAGCAAGACGTCTTCATAAAGCGTGATTTCGTTGTCGAAAACTGTAATATGGCCTTACAGCAGGATCAACTTGTCTCGCCTTGTCTGGCCATCCATTTAGTACACAATTCTTTAATTTCTGTAAATCAGGATCCTTTGAGATCTCCATAGCAAACTCGGACAATTTCGACTTGGAAATTGTTCCCTGATCATTAATCATGTGTAAAATACAATTTAGTTCAGATTCAGGTATTTCTGGATTTGAAACATCTAAGAATGCACGACTGAGTGTATCTGCTACAGGAATGTCCTTTCCAGGTACAAACTTAAAAGTAAACATATAAGGCTGAAGCCTTAGCAGAAATCTGGTATAAACTTACCTAAATAGTTACACATTCCGAGAAATATCTGTAGTTCAGTTTTATTCTGAGGAACAGGCATGTCAATGATTGCCGAAATCTTTCTTGGATCAGCATAGACACCACCACCAGACAGTACATGTCCGAGAAATGTGATTTGAGTAACACAGAATTGACATTTTTTCCGGTTCAGCTTGAGACCAGAGTCTTTAATTCTAGACAATACCTCGTGTAGACGTTGATCGTGAACTTCTTTTGTGTCACCCCAAACTATGATATCATCTTGAGCGTTTGCGGCTCCTTCGATTCCTTCAATAATTTCTGCGATATCCAACTGAAAAATTTCGGATGCATTTGAGACACCGAAAGGTAATCTATTAAATTTATAACGTCCAAACGGGCTATTGAAGCACAACAACTTTGAGCTTTCCTCATCAAGCTTGGTTTGCCAATATCCTGAAGAAGCGTCAAGCTTTGAAAAATATCGAGCACCAGTCATCTTTGAGATAATATTCTCTGCGGTAGGTAGTTGTAGATGAGCTCTTTTGATGGCTTGGTTTAGATCCATCGAATCAAGGCAAATACGAATACTTCCATCTGGCTTTTCAACAACTACCAGACTTGAAACCCCTATCTGTTGGCTCAGTGACTTTGGATATAACCCCGAGTTTCTCCATTCTGTCAAGTACGTAGGTTGGATGGTCGTAGGAACAAGTCGTGGAGGGTGAATAACTGGCGGAACATTAGGGTCAATAACCATCTTGTGAACTTTGGGCAGAGTACCAAGTTCTCCAAAGCAACATTCAAATTCAGAAATGAAGCTGGGCAATTGTTCCTCCTTCGGTTTTACTACCATCACGCGTTTAACTAAGTTTAAGTTCTCACATGTAGAAAGGCCCAATATTGGTGGTGAAGTCGTTTCTGCGACAATAAACAGAACAGGTACATCACGATTCTTTTTATGGGCATCTTTCCAACAACAGGAATATTAGTTCTATTATAAGCAGTTAGCTTCACTTTCGTATTATTTAACTTTGACATTCGTATCAACCTATTAGGCTTTTCTGAGATTTTGGTAAGACATTGACTTGGGCACCAGTATCTAACTTGTATCTGGCATTACTACCTTCAGTGTCCATGTCAACTGTCCACTCAGGCTCATTCTCAGACTCGGAATCAAAAATAAAAATTCTAAATTTATTTGACTCATTTTTCTTAGTGGTTGAGTTCCTTTCTTCTCCCCTTATGACAGGGTTAGTCTGAATCTCAGTAGTGTCAACATTAACACTTCCTACAAAAAATGTGTCATTGGGTGCATCATCAAATGTGTCTTCGGGTGCATCATCATCTGAATCAGCATCATCGTCACATTAACGTTTTTGACAGACTTGTTTTTTTCTGGACAGCACCTTGCAAAATGATTAAACTTAGAACATTTCATGCATTTTTTCCCATAGGCAATACAGCTTCCCCGTTTATGAGAATATGAGCAAAACTTACAATTTTTAATTAGGGACTTATCGTAACCAACTGATTCTTTGCCAGAGTTTTCCTTTTCATCTCTTGCAAACTTCCTTCTACGAAGAGTGTCAACAGAATTCTTGCCATCGACGTCTTTCTGGAGTTCTTTTATATGTCTCTTCGTCTCCTCAGCAGCATGTCCAATTTGTATAGTTTTCTGCAGTGTTAATTCTGGTTTCCTACGAAGACGTTCACGTACGAAGACGGTTGTCATTAATTCCACATATTATAATGTCACGGATGAGGCTTTCACGAAGTACTTCAAACTCACACTCAGCACTACGCTTTTTTAGCTCAGTAACGAACTCATCTTGATTGACCATCTCTCGGCTTACATGTAAAGAATTTGTGGCGCATAAATGTAATGTTCTTTCTTGGACTACAGTAATCTTGAAACATTTGTACGACTTTGAATTTCATTTCCTCTCCTTCATCGAACTGAAACGTATGATAAATTTCTCTACCTTGCTTTCCGATGCATGTGAGAAGTATTGATGTCTTTATTTTATCAGATTTTCCATCCTTCTCAGTAGCCGTAAGATAGAGTTCTAGTTCTAGTTCTAGTTCTAGGCGCCACTTCTGCCAATTTTCACAAAGGTTACCTTCGAACCTTAAACAAGATGGCGGCTCAAATTTGTCCATTTCGCTTTGCCTTTCAGGCCTTTAAAATTAATTCTACATGATTGGAAAAGATGCACAGCCTTCAATTTTTAAAACAAAGCAAGGATCTCCTGCTTAACGAAGGGATTATAAATAGTATATCGTATTTCACTCCTAACTTGATTAATTGTTGGCAGACAGTTTTCAAGTTCGCGCATATTTTGTATGCGCAGTAGAACCGTGACACTGCCCCATTAAAACTAAAAATAACATCGTTAAACTGTCGGTGTTTTGCTTGTTCTACCCTAAATAGATAAGGAAACTTAAACTTTTTTAAGTAAACGCTCCTCATCTGCAAATTGGTTCAAAACTCTATTGTGTATTGAAGCTTGCTACCAACACAGACTCCCATACCGATTAGTGTGACCGTAAAAAGTATCAATTCTAGCTAATAGTCGCCGCCTCAGACTCACGTTACAAGAAGACTACCTTTGAAAAATGGGCAACATGGCCGGATATTTGATACAACGCGATTTCAGTTCAAGTACAACTTTGTGACGTTACAATTAATTTTGTTTTGGTCAGTGAAAGTATTTTTCCAACTTTTTACAGGTTTTTATCTGTTCATCGAAGCTTCAAGTCCACAACTGTTCGGTGATAATGCTACAGTTTTAACACCTTACTTGAACGGCCAACAATGCATGAAATTTTCTTACCATATGTACGGTGGTGATATTGGAGTCTTGAACATCTACGCGAATAACCAAAGGGTCTTTTCAAAATCGGGAAATCAAGGAAACCGCTGGCTGGATGTGGAAACGCCGATTTTAGAACGTGGAAGATATATGGTGAGTAAAGAAAGGAGTATTTCAGATACACTGACAACAGCACAATATTTGAGGCAAGGCGATTCTCATTTCAAAACGGCAGGGAAGAATTAGATCCTGGGGAAACTTCGGCACGAACATTCGTCATTCTTTTAATTTTTTGGGTCTGAACGCGCAATATGTTTTAACCCAACCCGAAGTATAATCCAAATGCTGTTGTTGGACAAGAATTTCGTTTTCAAGAGCCAAAATGAAACTGATTACTCATTTTTTTGTATAAATATTTAAGGTTAAGTTTGAAGGTGTTCGCGGTAATGATTGCCAAGGTGACATTGCAATCGATGCAATCAGCTTCACTCCAGGAAGTTGCTCAGGTACTGTACTGGTCTACCACTTTTACAATTTTTTAGTTAATACAACCAAGTCACTAGATACCAATGATGATCACATGTCTGGGTTGTGTTCCAAAACCCTTTCATCTTCATATTTAGGAAAGTAATATATTTATGAAAGTATATATATCATATTTAGGAAAGTTATATTTAACAAATATATAACATTTTCCGTGTTGATATACAGTTATATCAACACGAGTGGAATTGGGAAAACGAGAAATTGTGTGGAAACACGGCGCCCGAAGGGCGGAGTGTTTTCGTACAATTTCGAGTTTTCCCAACTTCCACGAGTGTTGATATAACTATATATCAATACGGAAAAAAATGTTTTATATTTTTTTTATAATATAGCAATGTGAAAAGCCCGAAGGATAAGAAAAATTTCCGTGTTTACAAGCGGCGGAAAATTTCCCGTGTTGACATTGAGTTATATCAACACGGCTCTTAGCCAATCAGCGTTCAGAATTTACAAATGCTATATTATAACACAATTTGTAAAGATAAATAGTCTGGCGATAAATAAGTTAGATAAGTAAGCGTGATATACTTGAATGATGTAAAATGACACGGGAAAGCCTCGATGCCGAGTGAACTGAATAATGTGTATTATGTATATGACTGTATGTATCTTTCAAGGTGAGGTCTGTATACCGACTTACTGCGACGTCCAATACCTTTTGAGAGGAATTTGTCTGAAATTTGCCTTTTGACAGGATTATTTGCTTAATGCAATTACACAGGGTGTGGTTCCCAATTCACCCCAGTAAGAGGCCAACGATAAATGTGCCCAACAACTAATAGTTTTTGATGAGGGAGGAAAACTGGTCGACCCGGAAAAACCCCACATCTAAGCACAGGAGAGAACTAACCAATTAAACTCATAGAGTAACTCAATGTAAGTAAACGTGATACGATGGATTAACAGCAGCAGGCTCAATTCAGAGATAAGGAGCTGACCACATTTGTCATTTCAACCGTACTTTCCTAGATTATTGTCGGTTGGATTCACTAGACAGATTTAGAAAAGACGACGCGACCTCAAAGACGACGTGGATGTCGTTATTTGGCGCCAACTATCGTCAGCTTCTGGTTTGCGACGTCGTCTTGTACGATTTCACGACGCGAAAAAACAATTAATTTTCACGTCCTCTCTAGAACGTCACAGATTTATGCTTCTTTTGAAAAACATATGAGAGTATGCGTAATAAAAATCATCGTATTTTGTTCCCCATGTATTGTTTAATTATTCTAGTTAAAGTTTTTTCATTGACAAGGTTGTTTTTCTTGTATTTTGCTAAATTTTGGACGTGTTGATTTTCGACAAATACTTTCGATCGCCATAACAAATCAACAAAACTCCTAGCATTGTTAATAACCACTTCAATACCGCTAGTATTCTTCACCAAAACAAACGTTTTAAAACAAACTAAACTGAAGTTATATTAACAACTGTTTAAAATCAGGAAAACTTGGGAAGATAGAAAAATAAAAGCACTTAAAAGCAGTAAAAACTCGATCAATTTTAGTTGCTCTGTCACAACAGTGCAAAAAAGAAGGACAAGTAAAAACACGCTTTCCAGCGTGAAAAACTATCGTAAACAGTATTAAATTTTACCAATATAAACACTGATGCCATGATATTTATACTGAACAGTCGACAAACTGTAATGACTGAATAGGCTACAAATAAAACATTTAGCTAGCAAACAATTCCTGCAGCTATTGTATTTATTCCAAATGTGAAATGATGCAACAAAGTTCACTTTTCAAAATACCGAAATATACGTCTTTTTCCAAAAAAAACTTAACATTGAATGTTCATACTAATTCATCAGGAAACATTTGGTCAGTATTATATAGCCTTTTCTTGCACATATCTTGACAACTGATTGAAAACAATACAGGAATGAGCAGTTAACAAGAAAACAAAAATTTGCTTCGAAAAAGACAAACAAGCGGTCCCAGATTGAAACCCGGAAGTGAGCGCGAGGTGCATACGTCATTTTCACGTCGTCTTAGACGTCTTTTCTAAATATATCTACTAGTTATTGCGTGACGCCCGTATTATGTTTCCATCTTCGTTTCCACCCATATGCAGTGTTTTCGTTTCCCCACTTGGCTTCGCACTTGCTGAGGCCAGGGCGGGATTGATGTAGAGTTAAATGAGACCAAACTGGAAATGAGTCAGGTCTGTACACATGCTAGCCATCCATTGGTCACGCTCCGGCATAAACTTACACACGTAAAAACGCACAAGTTGTTACAAGTATGCAAACAAGTTGTTATAAATCTGTTCACAAACTGTCGACAAGTTGTCTTCGCACTGCTTGTTCCCATGCAGTTGTCGAACAAGTTTGGAAGGAGCTGTTAACAACTTGTAACAAGCTTGATGGCATTATCAGACATGTCACAAGGTTGTTCTAACAAGTCTGATGCAGTCATGATGAAAGGTTGACGACACAATTAAGGTTTAACGATACAGCTATATCATGACTGTATCGGACTTGTTGGCACAACCTTGTAACAAGCCTGATAATTAATTAAATTTATTGTACGATCATCCAGATTAAATTTTTAATTGTTTCTGACGTTTCGGCTACCTATACGGCAGCCATTATAAATTTAATCTGGATGATCGTACAATAAATTAAATTAATGAAAGAACCCGGATTCAAGCCCTTCAGTGAAGCCTGATAATATCAACAAAGTTGTTACAAATTGTTAGCAGCTTGTTCCAAACTTGTTGACAACTTGGGATAAGCAAGCAGTGCGAACACAACTTGTTGACGGCTTGTTATAGCAGACTTGCTACAAGATGTGAGATTTTTACGCGTGCATGTGAAGAGCTAATGACTTTTTTCGATCGATTGTCCAGTCAAGTCAAGCACGACTATAAGCTCTCGCATCAGAGGCGTAGCCAGGAATTTTGGTCAGGAGGGGCCAGCAAAAACCCAGGTGGGGCCATGCCGCCAGTGACTCGAGACGCCAAGGCCGTCAATCCATACCAAAAGGTGGGGGGTGGGGACGGACTAGTATTCCAAATTAGGAAGGTCCGGTGGTATGCTACCCGAAATTTTTTATTTTTGGTACACTAAAGGGCAATTCCAGCGTTTTGGAGGCACTTGTAAAGTTATACTACAATTTGCTGATCTTAAATCCATTTTTAACCATGTGAGAAATCCGCTAAAAAACAAGGTTGTGCAAGTGGGATAAAGCACATCAAAGTTGTTAATTAATTATATTAGTTGTTAGTTATTCATTTAGTTAGATTTAATGCTATGTACAACTTTTATAATTGGGATCAGGCGAAAAACTACAAAAATGGAATCTTTTGGCTTAAAATTTTACTGTATATGAACTTTTGAAAATGGTAAATTTTAAATCTTAATTAAGTCGTTAAATTAGTAAATTATTTACTATTATGTCGATTAGCTCGATAATTGATGTATAATAGTTTAAAATATATTATCACCTTCTTTACTGTAAATATACATACTGTATATAGTACCTTCCTTCCTTTGAATATATATAATAAAATTTATATGCATGTTAATGTTTTATTTTATATTTGTTATATACTTTTATCCTTATTCAATATATAATAATTCGAACTGACTAAATATAAGAATGAAATAATGTAAGTATAGGGGCATAAACGAAAACAAGCAAAACGAATTATTGTCTCATTTACTGCAGCTTGCCAGTTAGAACAGGAAGTCAATACGACCAATAGTGCCTTTATGTAAATGTTTGTAAATTACATGCAGATGTCCAATTTGAATTCAATTTGAATAATTTTTACTATTCACATAATTAACATATGCTATGTCAGTATTTGCTCCCAGGGGCTCCCAAAAGGTCATACGTTGTACTTCATATTATTAAATGTCTGGATGAATAGCATAGCAGGCATTAGGTTTTTAGATTACCAAGAAACAAAATTTCATTAAACATGTTAAACGCCCATGCGAGACGCAAAGTTCGCGCAAGGCATTCTGTCCAGTGCTGGGTAAAATTGTTAAAATTAATTGTCGACACATGTGATTTTTCACCGAGCCCGCGTTAAAAATTCACTGGTAACAAAATCAGATTGGTCTAAACTTCGTTTAACCCTCATTTAATACATATTGAAATAATTATGGAAATAATTAGGGTTAGAAAAGGTATGTGTTTCAAGCTGTGTGCCGCAAATAAGCGAACAAGATTTTAGGTTTCACACTGATGCGCAGCAAAGCATATATTCTACAGAATTTTTGCATTACTGACAGCATGAAGCAATATAATCAAGGATTCCCTTTTTTATACAATACTTTTTTTATCAGAGGGGGCCCAAAATTCTTTCCAGGGGGGGCGGGCCCCCCGGCCGCAGCCCTGGCTATGCCTCTGTCTCGCATTTGGATAAATAGGATTATTGACTGAGTAAAACAAATACTAATAAGTTGTTGGAGATCGTGGTGCTATGTTTAAAATATACAATAACTATTTACATGTAATATTATAGGAACAGTTTTTCAGATGATAATACGCAAGGTGCCGACTTTAAGTTAATTTAATCCATTAATAATTTAATCCTTAATTTCATTTCACTTAGCCAATTGTAACTTTGACAAAGGAGATACCTGCAATTATCAAAATGGTGCTGGACAGTTTAATTGGACAGTTAATAGAGGCCCAACACCCAGTAGGGGAACAGGACCAAGCTCTGACGTCAGCGGCAGAGGTAAACTATGAAATAAACTTTTAGGTCTTAGAAACAGTGAATGATATGATTAGGGTTACGATGGGTTTCTTTAGCATTTAGTTTGGACATTTACGATAAATTTGATGTGAAGTAGAACTTTGTGACGTTACAATTAGTTTTTTTTTGGTCAATGAAAGTATTTTTCCAACTTTTTACAGGTTTTTATCTGTTCATCGAAGCTTCAAGTCCACAACTGTTCGGTGATAATGCTACAATTTTAACACCTTACTTGAACGGCCCACAATGCATGAAATTTTCTTACCATATGTACGGCGGTGATATTGGAGTTTTGAACATCTATGCCAATAACCAAAGGATGTTTTCAAGATCGGGAAATCAAGGAAATCGATGGGTGGGTGTGGAAACGCCGATTTTACAATTTGGAAGTTATATGGTGAGTAAAGAAAGCAACATTTCCATGACATGCAGACAATAAGACAATATTTGAGGCAAGGGCACTCTCGTTTCAAAACGGGAGGGAAGAAGGGCCCGAGGAAACTTCGGTACGAACATTCGTCATTCTTTTATTGGGTCTGAATTGACTCTGAAATCACGATATTTTTTAAACTAACCCGAAAGGATAATCCAAAGCTGTTGTTGGACAAGCAGGGCTTAAAAACTAAATCAGAAACGCTGTACGAGGTCGTACGTTCTGTACTAAGTTGACTACGTTTAATCGATGTTGAAGTACGATTTTGTATATACAAGTTTTCGTATAAAATTCCCGTATAAGGTAGCGGTCATTAATTATTAGGGGGGGGGGCGGTAAAATATCTAAAACGAGGGCCCAAAAATGTTGACCCCCTTTCAAATTATCGCCCAATAATTTTAGCCCCCCACAAAATAATAGCCCAGAAAATTGTGACCCTCCCCTTCCTTAGATAGCTTCCTTCAAATCGGTCAAGCATCAAACAGCGACATAATTTCGTCAATAAAATATGGCTATATAGTATAAAACACTCCTATACATGCATTAAATAGTACATCATTTGAAATCTTTATGTAAATTAGTCTATAGCACTGGCTCGTCCCTTCCATGTCCGGCAAACTCTACCAGATCTTGTGGTCTGCAAAAGGTTGGAAATGTTCTCTTCCTCCTCCTCCTCTTCTCCCGCATCACCTTCATAAATTTGTCCTTCATCGTCGTCGGAATCAATATCATCCTCATCACTTCCAATCTCCTGCACGACAACATCGTCGTCACCAGAATCCTGGTCGTTACTATCTCTGTCATCATCAGAAAGTTGACGGTTATCAGGGACTAGCGACTTTGCTATGTCAAGTGATACGATATCGACTTTTTCTTGCTTTAACGCCCCTTTCGACTGCTTCAAATTTCTCATTGATATATACATGTCCAATACAACAACTTTCAGTTTCTTTATTTTTCCTTCCCTGTAAATAGCTTTCCAGTTGTAATCTTCAAAGGTCTTTCTCTTTTCTTCCAGATTTGCGCGCTTTCTGCTATCTTCCCTCTTTTTTTTTCCTTCTTTCTAGTTCGCGAAGATGTTCCAGGTACTGTGTAACCAGCCTTTTTTCCACCACATACTTTTTGCTGAACTCTTCCACGTCGTCATCGTCATTCATATTTCATGTTGGTCCATACTGGGAAACCTCTGGATGTATACCTTACTGTCAACCAATATGTGACTCAGACTGATCACGTATATGTTTTTATACTACAGACCATATATTTGTAAGATTTCCGTTTGTTAGATTTTATTGTACCGCATATTATTGACATGAAACAATGTACACCATATTGCTGAAATTAGCAATGAACTATACAGGCTCGGCAAGTGAGGAAATATACGAGTATCAACTAGTTGTTATACTTGACATTACATGTATAAAATATGATTTATTATCGTTGGTGAAAGAAATTGTTCTGGTGTTGGTGAAATAAATTTCGTTTTAATTATCTCTGCATGGAAGCCTTCATTCATTATCCGTGTCCGTACACAAATTGGTCATTGAAATATAACTTTTTTACTGAAATAGGTGCCCAAATATTTGTGGCCCCCCTTCTAGATGGGCACAAAAAAATTTGGCCCTCCCCAAAAGGGGGTCCAACAAATGGTAGCCCTCCCCCTAAATTTACCGGCCCTCCCCCCCCCCAATAATTAATGACCGCTCCCTAAAAATGCGTTTGAAGTGCTGGATATAAAGGACGTAAACAAAGATGGCGGTCCGGGATGCAAGCAGTCAACTCGGTGTTTCTATAGACACATGTTTCCATGTTTGATTGTTATAAATACTTTAATTTATATGTCAGGATCAGGGTTAGAGGCAAATGATTGTTCATTGTTTGAAGGATTTTAAGGCAAACAGAAGGGGTAGCGGTTCAGCTCTGCTGTAGGAAGTGCATGTACGCGACCGTACTTGTCTGAAATTCTTGGCGTATGCCAAGTTAATTTCCGCGTACAATCGTATGTCCGTACGCCTATTCTTGAAGCCCTGACAAGGATTTCGTTTAAATTTCGTTTTGAAGAGCCAAAATAAAACTGATTAATCAATTTTGCTATCAATATTTAAGGTTAAGTTTGAAGGTGTTCGCGGACATGATTGCCAAGGTGACATTGCAATCGATGCAATCAGCTTCACTCCAGGAAGTTGCTCATTCCAAACACCAAAACCATCAACACCTCGACCAACAAACCCTCAAACAGCATCAACACAATCTCCGACACAAGCAGGTACTGTAGTTGTCTACCACTTTTACTATTTTTTAGTTAATACAACCAAGACACTATATACCAATGATAATCACATGTCCGGTTTGTTTTCCACTACCCTTTCATCTTCATATTTAGGAAAGTAATATGTTACCATGGGCGTACCGGAAGGAAAAAATTAGGGGGGGGGGGCGGAAATAAATTTGCCCGACTTTTCCGGATTGTGCCCGACTAGTAAATTTTCCGGGAAAAATTATTTCGGCGACCTCCTCGTATTTTAATACGTCAAATTTGACCAATCAACTTGTAGGATTTGTTAACAGCTTAAAAGCTGTTATATTCACCTGCAGGTGAATATAACAAAACCGAAATTTTCAAGATGGCGGCTAACCGTTTTGTGGACGTTATACTGATAAAGAAAAAAGCGAAATTATAATAAATTCAGTCCCAAAAAAAAAATACTAATAAAAACAATTATTCGCCTCAGGCTCGGTGATTCGATCACCTAACCTTCGGCGAATAATTGTTAAATGTCAATATAAAGTCGATAAAACGTTCAGAATACGTTATCCCGCGCAGAAGCCTGGTTCTAGTTTAGTATATACCATATATAGGAAAGTAGTATCACAATTTTGTAAAGATATTAAATAGTCTGGCAAGTAGGTAAGATAAGTAAGCATAATACTAATTGATGTGAAACGTCACGGAAAAGCCCCGAATGGCGAGTGAGCCGAAAAATGTGTGAGTATGTAATAACTTGCTTCGTTGGTTGTCTCACTTCTTCCGCGATAGATGGTTGTGGTGCTGCAGGTGACTGTGGTGCTGGGCCCCAGGGAATATCACTAGAAACTAAAGGTGTCTCCAGGGGAACAATCCCCTGATTTCCACTGTCCACTTGTGGGGTTAGATCCTGATCTGTACGGATTCTGGACGTCTTCGCATTACTTCAGCAGTGCTCAGCCTCACTCTAGCAGAACAGGACCAGTTTTATGAAGCACAGTTCCAGACATCCAAGATTTTGGACGTCTGAAATCTTTGATATAAACAGTGTCATCCCTTGTATTTCCCGATGTTTAGCATGATAATCATGGGATGGTTTTTGTTGTGTTTGCTTTTCCGCAACTTGGTCACTAACGTTTGGGTGGAGTAGGTCCAAATTGATGAGTGTGTAGTTTCCGATTCATCAACAACTGAACCGCTGGAACTCCCGTGGTGGAATGTGAGGTGATCCGATACTTGAGAAGAAATCTAGCCAGCTTGGTTTTTAGACTTCCTCCCTCCATTTTCGCTAACCCTTCCTTGAATACACGAACTGCCAGCTCTGCTTGACCGTTAGAGGCGGGATGATACGGTGATACTTCAATATGTTTAATGCCATTCTGACTCATACTGTAAATAGCTCAAATTCGCTGCTCGAAAAGTTAGTCCCATTGTCACTAACGACCGTCTTGGGTAATCCATGGGTCGCAAAGATTTCTCTTAACTTTTCAATTGTAACTTTTCATCACGTATACTTCCAGCCACTTTGAATAGGCGTCTACTAGCACAAGGAACATTTCTCTTTTGTACGATCCAGCATAACCTATATGAACTTGTGACCATGGCTGGTCTGGCCATTCCCAGAGATGCAGTGGTATGAATAAATAGTAATATGAATTATTTATTATTATATAGGGGCAGTGCTCTGAACGTTATGTACTAGCTTGTTTGTAGTTATTTAGTTAGCGCAATGTTTTTAAAGAACGAAGCAATAATATATACAATAATAATATGAGTGATTAAACGCATCCTCAGCTTCTATTTGCGGACCGTACGAATTTATCGGCTTGTGAATCGTCTTATACGAGCCGTACGAACGATCCGTCAAACTATTGGTCATCTGGGCAACAAGCATCCGCTATATTGGAGACCACCTATTGCATTTACGAGTTGATACGGATCGTGACTCGTGTTTACGGTCGAAGCTGTAATATAGTAATATGAATTATTTATTATTATATAGGGGCAGTGCTCTGAACGTTATGTACTAGCTTGTTTGTAGTTATTTAGTTAGCGCAATGTTTTTAAAGAACGAAGCAATAATATGAGTGATTAAACGCATCCTCAGCTTCTATTTGCGGACCGTACGAATTTATCGGCTTGTGAATCGTCTTATACGAGCCGTGCGAACGATCCGTCAAACTATTGGTCATCTGGGCAACAAGCATCCGCTATATTGGAGACCACCTATTGCGTTTACGAGTTGATACGGATCGTGACTCGTGTTTACGGTCGAAGCTGTTTCACGATCCGTACCACGACACTTTTGAGACTTAAGGCTAGTTTACACTCAGGAAAATTATCCGCGGATTGAAACGGACAAGAAAATTTTTCTTTGTATTAAATTCATTAGTTCCAACCCAGAGCTCACAAGACAAAGAAAAACTTTCTTGTCCGTTCCAATCCACGGGTAATTTCCCTGAGTGGAAACTAGCCTTTAAGCCGGTTTTCCACTTCGCCCGTATCGTACCGAAACGTACTGGTGAGCATGCGCAGATTGAAAAGAGGTTTGTAAATCTACGTATTTCCGGGTGTATTGGCGTATCAAAATAAAAAGTTCGTCGCAAGTCAACTTTTTGGCATACTACGGAAATACTAACCAATCAACATCAAGAAATTTTGAAATTTAAAAACGTTTTCGCTACGTTACGGTACGGTATGGTACGGTACGGTACGGTACGGTGCGGTACGCTTGAAGTGGAAAACCGGCTTAAGTCGGAGATATCAAGTTACGAATATATCTCTCCATGCGTACCGATGGAGTAGATTCGACATTATTTGACATGTATGTGGCTATGGAAAGTGCTTCGAGAGAAGTGTGGGTGATTTGCATATGACAAAAACAAATCATACAAATTCGGCTGACAAAGCTGACAAAGTCACGCATGGGAAACAAGCATTATTTGGCAAGGAAAATCAAGAATGTTACCGTTGCGGAGGAGACCACGAGCCTTTTACTTGCAAATTTAAGGATGCGAAGTGTTATGGCTGAAAAAGAAAGGCCGCACGGCGAAGAAATGTAGAAATCGGAAGATAGATCAAGAAAAGAAACCATTCAGAAAGGATGAGAGAAAAGCACAGAAGTCGGCGAATTATTTTATGAAGCAAGAGGAGGGGGCCTATACAATGTACCATGTGACCG